TTCCCTCTCTTCCCTCCTCCTTCCTCCTCCTCCTCCTCCTCCTCCTCCTCCTCGTTCCTCTTTTTCCCTCCGCCCTCCATCCTCCTCCTCCGGCCCTCCTCCTCCCTCATCCGCCCTCCTCCTCCGCCTCCTCCTCCTCCTCCTCCTCCTCCTCCGGCCTCCTCCTCTTCCCTCGCGCGATGCCTCCCCTGCGCGCGCCGCCGACGACGGACACCGCCCTGCCGTGCGCGCGCCCCTGCGGTGCCCTGCCGCGACCCTGCCATCCCACCCCGCCATCAGGGTGTCCACCGCTCAGCCCTCTTTGTGGCTGCTCTATTCCGAGTCCTCCGGAGGCCACGAATCTCCGGGGGGGCCCCGAGGGGCCCCGAGAGGAGTCCGAGGAGGACACGAATAGGGAGAGCCCCTCCTCCTCCTCCTCCTCCTCCTCCTCCTCCTCCTCCTCCTCCTCCTCATCTTCCACGGCCTCCGTCTCCGCCCGCTTCGTCGCCGACGTCGTGGTCCTCTTCATCTTCAGGGTCGGCGGCACCGGCCGAAAGGCCTTCGCAATCGGGAGAGCCCCAAGAGAGGAATGACAGAGGCCCGGGTGGGCTCCACCAAGAACATGAGATGCTTGTCGATGCTTGTCGCTGTCCGCGTGTGAAGATCCTCCATGAAACCCTCGGGGGCCCTCTTGGGGTCATCTCCAGCGTCTTTTGGAACCCCCCTGGGACCCTCATAGTGACCCTAAGTCTTCTTTGGGAGGCCCCGACGAATGCCGAAGAAACCGCCGCTGTAAACCACCGAGGCCCTCCTGGGGTTATTTTCTGCTCGTCTCCCCCCCGCGGCTTCTCTCTCTCTCTCTCTGTCTCTCTGTGCCGCGGAGGCTCTCGGCCGCTGGTACCTCGATCTTCCAACCGATTCCTGCTCGCCGGCTCTCGTGCCGAAGACGTTCCTGAGAAGGGGGACCGAAGGGGAACCCAGAAAGCGCAAAGGGCAACCCGCAGACAGGAAAAGGAGAGCAGACAAAATCCAATACGGAAGACAGCGGGGGGAAGCCCGAAGGAGCAGGGAAACGACAGCCCACGATGGGTCCTCAGGCAAAAGGTTGCGTCACTTCGGAAGCGACGTGGTCGCTGGCGTGCCACCCAGGAAGACTGTGGGCGCTTGTGAGCGACCCGAGAAGCGCAGCCGACTGACCAGCTAACCAAGCAAATAATACGCTAACCAGTCGGCAGCAGAAGCAGCAGCCTATATATATGCATATATGTGTGTATATATACATACATACATATATATATATATATACATATGTATGTATGTATATATATATATATATATGTATCAGAGTGAGGGGGCCGAACAATCATTCATTGTCCCTGGGTGCGTGGCTGAAGTGGGGATCCGTGGTGAGGATTATGCTTGTTGCGTTGTTGTTGTTGTTCCTGTTGTTGATATTGTTATTCGTATTGTCGTGGTTGCTATTGTTGTTGTTAGTGTGGTTGAACATTATTAATTCTAACGAATAATTATTGTTGGGACCCCTGGCGCACGGCCCCCCTGCGCCGCCTAGGCCGCAGCTACATTTTCATCATTTTCGTGAGGAAGCCTCAGGTAATTCGATGTGATCAAGATCCGGTTGTTTTGTTCCCCCCCGCTTTCCCTTGCAAAAGACACTATAAAATGACATTTCTTGTTCTAATATAATCAAATTTCAAGAATCCCTTGCAAAAAATGAGGTAAAGTGGACATTCGCGCGCGCAAGACGAAATCCTTCCAAAACCTTAGTTTTCGTAGCGATTTTAACATAAAAACATCAAAAAACCAATGGTTTTTCAACGCTCTTGCGGATTCGTAGGAAAACCAACACTTTTTAAACATTTCTGTCAAACGGGCTTTTGCGAGCAACTTTTTCGAACTTCTGCGACAACGGTTGCGCACCTGCCAGGGCCATCATCCCTGTCAAATAATACCATCCGCGCATGTGCCCAGCATGGCACAATTGCACCATGCTGGGCACATGCGCGCCCCGAATAAGTGACCAAGTTCTGTGGGTGTGTACCCCACGCCAGTGTAGTAGCCACGGTCGTCCGCACGCCACGAAGTGAAGTGTCCAACGTCATAGGGCGGGAAGCTGGGTTTGGGTGGTCGCGAAGAGTCGTTTGGATATTTGGTAGAGCTTGTAATGCCCCCCCACGAAGTGGGGGTATTGCCTGGTGTCGTATGAAAACCCTGGCACTGGGGAGAACACCACGCGTTCGGGTAAAATGATTGTTGTTGTTGTTGTTGTTGTTGTTGTTGTTGATGTGAATGATGTTGTTGTTGTTGTTGTTGTTGTTGTTGATGTTGATGTTGATGTTGTTGTTGTTGTTGTTGTTGTTGTTGTTGTTGTTGTTGTTGTTGTTGTTGTTGTTGAACTCTCATTCTTGAAGAATAATAATTGTTGATCCCCCCACCGGTGCACATTGATTTTTTTCGATTGAAGTGCCACCCCCGGGGCTCGCACCTTGTTTTTTCTCAAGGAAAACATAAAAAAAGAAAAACAAAAAATAAAAAAAAAAAAACCCCCGGGGCTCGCACCTTGTTTTTTCTCAAGGAAAGTCTTCCTGCTCAAACTGTGCCCCTGCCCCCCGGGCTACAACAACAACGGCTCCCGCCTGAGACTTCCTCGGTTTTTACTCAGGACCCCCGCTCCCGCCTGAGACTTCCGCACAATTTACTCAGGAAAGGCGCTTCCATCTGAGACTTCCTCGCAATGTAATCAAGA